ACCCCAATCTACCCGTCACCACCTGCTGCAAACATGGCCGGACCGCGCGCAGGAAACTCGAGGGCCAACGGCGCTGCCAACGGGGACACGTCCAACAACAAGCAATCGCTCAACGAGCCCCTCGACAAGGAGCTCTACGGCGGAAACAATGGCGACTACGTCAGTTCCATCGCCGTTGCTGACGACGACGCCGACATGGACGACGTGCAGCTGAACGGCCGGAGCCTTGTGGGCCAATACACGGCATCCAAGGAGATGATGAACGAGTTTGCGCATGGTGATGCCGGAGAGGCGGACATCCTCGACAGTCGCGAGAAGCAGGCTCAGATCGCATCACGCGAGACCGACTACCAACGACGACGATTCGACCGCGCCCTTTCTCCGTCGCGAGCGGACCCCTTCGCGAAGGATGGCGAAGATGGCGGCCAATCGTACAAGGACGTGATGAAGCAACGCGAGTTTGAGCGCGAAGAGGCGCGTGTGAAGAGGCTCATCGAGGAGAGGGAGAGGGAGGGAGGCAACGAAGTCCTTGACCACAAGCCAACGCTCCAGGACGACGGATCCGCCCCTGTCGATGGCGACAAGACCCCACCCATGAAGAAGACTCGCAAGAGGAGACGCTGGGACGAGAGCGGCGACGGCGAAACACCTGCGATCAAAGAAGAGGCCGACGAGGCCACGGCAGATGGCGAGCCCAAGAAGCGATCGCGATGGTCACCGGCACCCGAGGAAGAAAAGGCAGAAGACAAGTCTGCTGAGGCTGCTCAACCGGCTCGATCGCGTTGGGATACCACAGCTGTAGCCCCCGCCAGCGCCGCAACGCCTGCTCCCGCCACCAACGGCGCCCGTCCAGTCGCGCAGACGTTCGCATTCGGCACCGATATCTCCAACCGCAACGCTCCCTTATCCGACGAGCAGCTCGACATGATGCTGCCTGGTGAGGCTGAAGGTTACAAGGTCCTCGAGGCCCCTCCTGGGTACGAGCCAGTGCGGCGACCAGTGGGCATGCCAGCACTTCCCACGGGATACCAAGGCTTCTTGCTTCCGGAAGCAGACAACAGCTTGGCTGCCATGGGCAAGCAGCTGCCCACAGAGATTCCAGGTGTCGGTGATCTTCAGTTCTTCAAGAACGAGGACATGAAATACTTTGGAAAGCTCACAGACGGTGCAGACGAGAACGACATGACCGTCGAGGAACTCAAGGAGCGCAAAATCATGCGACTCTTGCTCAAGGTCAAGAACGGAACACCACCCATGCGAAAGACCGCGCTTCGACAACTTACCGACAACGCCCGGCAGTTCGGTGCTGGCGCTCTCTTCAACCAGATCTTGCCTCTCCTCATGGAGCGCACCTTGGAGGATCAGGAGCGACATTTGCTCGTCAAAGTCATCGATCGTGTCCTCTACAAGCTCGACGACCTTGTTCGGCCCTACGTCCACAAGATCCTCGTCGTCATTGAGCCTCTCCTTATCGACCAAGACTACTACGCCCGTGTCGAAGGTCGAGAGATTATTTCTAACCTCGCAAAGGCCGCTGGTCTCGCACACATGATCAGTACAATGCGTCCCGATTTAGACCACCAAGACGAATACGTCCGAAACACCACCGCTCGAGCCTTCGCTGTCGTCGCATCTGCCCTCGGTATCCCCGCCCTCCTTCCCTTCCTCCGCGCTGTGTGTCGATCCAAGAAGTCGTGGCACGCACGTCATACTGGTGTGAAGATTGTTCAGCAGATCCCTATCCTTATGGGTTGTGCTATTCTTCCTCACCTCAAGGGACTTGTGGAGTGCATCGGCGACAACCTGAATGACGAACAGCCAAAGGTCCGCATGGTCACAGCTCTTGCACTTGCAGCTTTAGCTGAAGCCGCGAGCCCGTACGGTATCGAGTCATTCGACGATATTCTGAACCCTCTCTGGACCGGAGCCCGTCGCCAACGTGGTAAGGCTCTTGCATCCTTCCTGAAGGCGGTCGGTTATGTCATCCCGCTCATGGACGAGGAGTACTCCAACTACTATACCAGTCAGATCATGGAGATCGTCATTCGCGAGTTTCAATCACCCGATGAAGAGATGAAGAAGGTCGTGCTCAAGGTCGTTTCTCAGTGCTCGAACACCGCAGGAGTAACCCCAGTCTACCTCAAGGACAATGTTCTCCCTGAATTCTTCAAGCACTTCTGGGTACGCCGCATGGCTCTTGACAAGCGCAACTACCGACAAGTGGTGGACACGACCGTGGACCTGGCGCAGAAAGCTGGTGTTGCTGAGATCGTCGGCAGGATTGTTAACAACATGAAGGACGAGAACGAAGCATACCGCAAGATGACTGTCGAGACTGTCGACAAGGTTATCAGCACACTAGGAGCGCACGACGTCGACCAGCGTTTGGAAGAACAGCTAATTGATGGTGTGCTTGTTGCGTTCCAGGACCAAACCATCGAGGACCCCATTGTCATCGACGGTTTTGCTACGGTCGTCAACGCACTGGGTGAGCGTACCAAGACCTATCTCCCGCAGATCGTCGCAACAGTTCTTGCTAGGCTCAACAACAAATCCGCAACCGTCCGTCAGCAAGCAGCAGATCTCATCTCGCGAATCACCTTCGTGATGCAGAAGTGCGACGAGGACCCACAACTCATCAAGCTTGCGCAGGCGTTGTACGAATACCTTGGTGAGGAGTATCCTGAGGTTCTTGGTTCCATTCTCGGTGCTCTTCGTGCTATCGTCACAGTCGTCGGTCTCCACGCCATGCAACCGCCTATCAAGGATCTGTTGCCCCGCCTTACGCCCATCCTTCGTAACCGACATGAGAAGGTACAGGAGAACACCATCGATCTGGTAGGACGTATTGCTGATCGAGGTGCAAACTACGTCAACCCTCGTGAGTGGATGCGTATCTGCTTCGAACTCTTGGACATGCTCAAGGCTCATAAGAAGGGTATTCGTCGTGCTGCCAACAACACCTTCGGTTATATTGCCAAAGCTATCGGTCCCCAGGATGTGCTGGCCACTTTGCTTGGTAACCTTCGAGTTCAGGAGCGTCAGTCCCGTGTCTGTACTGCCGTCGCCATTGGTATCGTCGCCGAAACTTGTGCACCCTTCACTGTCCTACCGGCTCTTATGAACGAGTACCGCGTACCGGAGCTCAACGTACAGAATGGTGTCCTCAAATCATTGTCCTTCATGTTCGAGTACATCGGCGAGATGGCAAAGGACTATGTCTATGCCATCACACCACTTCTAGAGGATGCCCTCATCGACCGAGATCAAGTGCATCGCCAGACTGCCGCTTCGGTCGTCAAGCACGTTGCTCTTGGCTGTGTCGGTCTCGACTGCGAAGATGCGATGATTCACTTGCTCAACCTTCTTTGGCCAAACTTGTTCGAAACCAGTCCTCACGTCATCGACCGCATCATCGAGGCTATCGAAGGTGTCCGCAACGCGATCGGTACCCCGCTTGTCATGAACTACGTCTGGGCTGGTCTCTTCCATCCAGCACGCAAAGTGCGAAACCCTTACTGGCGCATCTACAACGATGCCTACGTTCAGAACGCCGACGCCATGGTCCCAGCTTTCCCAACTTTCGAGGAGGACGAGGTCAGGAGACATGAGCTGGATATTTTCATCTAAACGTAAGATCCCCAGTACCTTCTTTTGCTTTCTTTCCTGGGGCCACTACCCCGGGGATTTGTTGCACTTTCTTGCTTTCAGCGAACTGGGAATTGGTTATAGTTGGAACAATGGTAGGCCAACCCTGTCAGGGTCTGGGCTTGTCTAGCTTATCATGTACATCACAGTAGGGTTGGATCGGAGTATGCGGCGTTACAGTACGCTAAGATCAGAGAGAGCATGAGTCGCCATTACCAGGCCACTTCAGTTTAGGACCTCTTATGGTAACAAAAAGATAATCTGCAACCACTTTACACGCTGATCACCTTTAGGTTTCTGTGAAGTCATCTCATCTATCCCAGCCCTTGATCGTTGTCAGAAGGTAAGTCGGTGCTTGCCGCTGTCCTGTATGCTGAACCATCGAAGAGAACCCGCGCTCCCTACCAGAGGGGAGTACGTCTATGTCATTCACTCACACACGTTAAACCGGGACAAGTATACGTGCTTTTCACCCCGTTTCGTTCTTGGCCATCGGATACTATGTTGGATATCACTCTCGTCGTCTAATGCCCCAGCACTATGATGATCATTTTCGTTGGACTGTGCTTGAATGTTGCCGGAGTCAAGCTTTGATCTGCTGCCATAGTCGCTGGCCTTCAAGCGGGTCAGACAGATGCATGGTCTTCACTGTCTTATATCCAGCATCAGTTCACAGTTATGATACAGCGTGAGTGTGCTGGGCCAGTGTCGTTGACTTTTGATACCAGAATATCAGCTGCGCAGTTCAACGGCGCAAACTCAAGCATTTCTCAATCACAGCCCAACGTTTGCAAGATCCTGTAATCCGTTCCATACATCATTGCATGAAAAGTTATCATTCAGCGTTAAGAAGATTTTGAGTTGATGTCGCACCTCACGGTTGAGAAAAGAAGTGGGCGATGCTGAGGTCGGGGAAAATCCCCAACTTTCTATTGGTGCGCGGACGAATGTATACGATCGAATGCGCGCGAAACCTTGGCCGAGAAAGTCCTAAATCCTAAATCCGTGTACTGGCATCCTAGCAATATGCGTTAATGCCAGAGACGTTTGAGCGTGGTATGCGACATGAATGTCTGAGGAACGAATGAGTGCTGATGGAGCCTCAGCCGGGGGGTAACTGAAAGTACAGGCTCAAACACGAGCATGGTGAGTATCGCGGCGGTATCGTAGTCCCTATGAATCTACACATCTTCTTGGCAAGAATACATAAACACCTGGCATTTCACGTCAGCGTTTAGCAGAAACCTTGAGCAGCTCGTACAGACGAATAAGACCATCGTCTCTTACGTATCCTTATCAACTTGCTTCCACGAACCACCAAGCAACCCGATTCTTCTTACGCATCAACTGCGATGGCCACTGTTCGCAAAGTTAACTTCCTCAGCCATGGCATCAACGTAATCGGCGATCTATACCTACCCTCCCCAAACGCACCAGACCGCAAAAATGCCGCCCTTATTGTCGGCCACCCCGGTACAGCTATCAAGGAACAAGCGTCTGGATTATATGCCAGAAAGCTAGCCGAACATGGCTTCATCACTCTCGCGTACGATGCAGCCTTCCAAGGTGAGAGCGGAGGGGAGCCACGTTACCTAGAAGATCCGTACCAACGAGTCGAGGACCTCAAGAGCGCCGTAACATTCCTTTCAACTCTTGACGGCGACGTTGACCCCGAAAGGATCGGAGTTGTTGGAATCTGTGCTTCTGGAGGCTACGCGATCTTCGCTTCACAGACTGATGTGCGCATGAAGGCCGTGGCGACCGTAGTCGGCGTTTGCGTGGGTGGTATGCATCGCAACAGTTTGAGAGACGACTCTGGAAACATCAACCCAGAAACACTGCATCAGCGCCTGAGTTTTGCAGCGCAAGAGCGCATCTCAGAAGCCAAGGGAGGAAAGCCTGCCACATTCAGCACGCTAGACGTTTTCGAGGAGGCAAAGACATACTATTCAACTCCGCGTGGGTACCATCCCAAATGCAACAACCTGCAACTTGTGAGGAGCTTCGAAAAGCTGTCCACATACGACTCCTGTGCTTTCATCGACTAGATCTCTCCGCGACCGCTGTTGATGATTACGGGAAGTTTGGCAGATACGGGTAATGGAGGCCCGGCCGACACCGCTTGCTACAGCAAGGATGCAATCAAGAAGGCCAAGGAGCCGAAGGAACTTTTCGTCATTGAAGGAAAAGGACATCTCGATTTATATGCTGATACTGAGGAGAGTGTTCCAAGGCTAGCTGATTTCATGGGGAAGGCGCTGTGTACTTAGAAGCCGGTCGATGCGTGCCAACACCTAGGGACATCCTATTCGCGTTAGCAACAGGGCGCCCTACGTATGACAACGCGACTCTTACGCGACGCGAAGTGGAGTTTCCCAGCTTGGACGTAGATGCAATGCGACACTTTAGGCAGCAGCCACTAGATCTCAATAAATATCCTCTCTAACAACAACCTCACCTGCTGTATCTAGGTACACAAAAAACAGACTACTGTGTTTAACTATCTCATACCAAATTTGGAAGGCAAAGCTTCATCAACTACTACATCATGTCCGATACTGGTCCTCCTGGCGCGCCCCCAGCCGACGCTCCAACCAAAACCTACGATGCATCATGCCACTGCGGCGCATTCAAGTACTCCGTCACTGCGTCTCCTCCGCTTGACGACCCCAGCGCGGCTCTGGTGGAATGCAACTGCAGTATCTGTGTATCGAACGGTTATCTTCTTATCTATGTGCCCAACGAGCGTGTCGTTTTCTCAAACGGTAGCATCGAGCAACTCAAGGTAGGCAAATATGTCCCTGGGAACGTAGCAAATACCGCCAAAGATCAGGCCAGCTGATGTTAGTTCTCAGTCTTACTCTTTCGGAACGAAGAGAATGGGCCACTACTTCTGCGGTACCTGCGGTGCATCGTGCATGATCCGCTCCAAGGACCCTGATTTCTTTGCAGGTATGACGTGTATCAATGCACGCATGCTGCACGGCGTTGAACTTGAAAAATTGAAGCGCAAGTCTGTCGACGGGAAGAGCTTCTGAGAGCTTGCAGTGGGGTTCTTGGCGCAGATGGTGTTAGGCGTGTATGGTGTTAGTCGGGAAGAGGGCGAACGAGGACCGGAGTTGATGGTGTGAGGGGCCGGTCGCTGTTCATTCGTTGTGCTTCTGCATGTACAGTTCGTACTTGCTGACAAAAGTGTGGCGTGCAATATTATAAATGCAACTTCGTGCTGATTTAAGGCGAGCCATTGCTAGTGAAACTATAAAATCGGACACAAGAGGCTCGACTCTAGTACTTGAATCGGACATAACAGGTTCGGGCGGTAGTACGAGACATATATTACGTCGATAAATAGCTGACACAGTCTCCGTTCTCTGCATTGACCAATTCAGATACCTCCATACACTGAACAAGCGCTTTCCTAACTCATTCAAACTATGTCTCCATCACTCTCCACGCCCAACACGTCACCTACACCAACCTCACCAGGCCGTTGGGTTATAACAGAATTCGGCAAACCATCTGTGCTAAGATGGGAGGCATTTGATCCCATGGCCGCGCTATCTGTTGGCGGAGTGCTGATCCGTATCCTGGTTGCTGGTATCGCCGGAGTCGACAATATTCAGCGTGTCGGCGGTTACCCTCATCCCCTAACCAAGGCACCCGGGTTCACACCTGGCTACGACCTCGTAGGCGAGATAGTTGCGCTGGGCGATGCTGTTCCAAAGGGAAGAGAACTAAACATTGGGGACAGAGTGGCAGCGTTGAGCATCTTTGGCGCACATGCTACACACATCGTCCTGCCGCACGAAGAAGTCATGAAACTGCAGCATGGAGATGACCTCCTGAAAACTTGCGCACTTCCGCTGAACTACATGACTTCATGGGGTCTGTTGAAGCACAGTGGTGTCGATTTACGACCCGGCTCGAGCATCCTGATCGGGAGTGTGAGTGGAGGACTGGGAACAGCTATGGCTCAGCTTGTTAAGGCGTTCGACATGGGCATCAAGATGTTCGGTACATGTTCACCGAGCAAATTCGATTACGTGCGCTCACTGGGTGTGGAACCGCTTGACCGAAACGCCCCGAATCTTGCGGAGCAGGTTCATGCGCTGACGGATGGAAAGGGAGTGGATGTCGCATACGACGGTGTGGGCAGTGAGAAGAGCGTCCAAGACTTTCTGGCAGCAACTAAGCAAGACATCGGCAAAGTGGTCGTATTCGGAGTTATGGGGGGCATCGCTGCGGATGGGAGCAAGATGTTGGCGAACGTCGACAAGCTCCTTGAGGCAATACTGCAGCCACCGCGAGTAAGCTTCTGGGCGCTTGATATCGAGTACCCAAAGAAGAAGGAAGTGGCGGAATTCTTTGCGCTTGTAGAGAAGGTGAGGGAGGGGAAATTGGATCCGGTTATCGCGAAGCTGGTGAGGCTGAGCGATGCGATTGAAGCCCATGAGCTTCTCATCCATGGAAGTGCTATCAAGGGAAAGATGCTGTTTATAGTTGATGAAGATCTTGCTTGGAAGTACAGCATATGAATACTTTATGCTGTACTTATTTCCAAGTCCACCAGGAGGCAAAGAAGCGTGGTCCTTGCATAGTGCATTTCTTTCTGGGGAACGCTAATGGTATACGAAATGTCTTATCTTGTCGACTCCCGTTCATTGTCTGATGCCTCCGAGACGACAGCCTCATCGCCGACAGCGTAGCCTTGCTGTTGTTCATCGTAGCTCTGAGACTGTTGTTGTAGCGGATAGCCTGGTTGCTGTGGCGGGTAGCCTGGATGCTGTGATGGGTAGTCTAAATGCTGTGATGGGTAGTCTGGATGCTGTGGCGGGTAGCCCGAATGCTGTGGCGGGTAAGCTTGCTGCTGGTAAGAAGGCCATATCGAGGTGTACGGGTTCACTTGGTCCATGGCGCTAGTCGTAGTTACCGGGTAGAGTTCTGAGTAATGGCTTCTTGTGTTTGGTCCGATCTCTGGCTGAGAAGCTATGCCCCGCCAAGTCGATATGTTGGGCGTACTCCACAATGATGGAGGTGGAAGTGGAGCTGGAAAGATCGCGTTTGGAATCGATGATGCCATCCATGACGGAGAGGCAGTTACCGGCAGTGACTGTGGATTTGCCTGCAAGCATGAAGTGGGAAATGTGGCGGAAATCTCAGCCATGACCGTAGGGCATTCGTTGTGTAACCGCTTTTGCAGCGATCCTGGTATGAAGCATCCATCCTCGTTGAGCCGCTCTAAGAGGTTCTCGATTATGTTTTCCAAATTTACAATCTTCTCATCGCATCGTTCCTGTACCTGCTCTATTTCACCCTTGCGCATTTGTATGTCCTTATCTAGGTTCAGTGTCCTTTCATTGTATCGCTGTAGTAGCTGCGTATTATCGCTTCTAGCTGCAGCCAGCTCTTTCTCCAATGTGATAATACGTCCTTCTTTGACCTCGATATCTCGCATAAGCTGTGTACATATCTCGTTCCTTCTAACACGAGCTTGTTGTTTGCACGGCCTCTTCTCTTGACTGTGTTCGAACGCAGGGCCGGGAAGGAAGACAGGATCTGGTGGAGTCGATGAAGGATTTAAAAGCGTCCATATGAAAGTCCATCTCCATTCTTTGTTCAGTGATGCCCAAGAGGGACAGTTTTCAGTTCGACGATGATGAGGCACACTCGCATTTGAGCTATCGCCGCAGGGGATACCAATACAGCGTCGTTCGCAGCCAGCGGCATGTTTTTGCAATATGCTCGCTGGCTTTCTCTCCTCGTCTTCAATTGTGATTCGTTCGCAACACTCCTTACATATGACTATGCGGTGACGTTGCATGAGACTCCTCAAGAGCTCTGATATCGTCGTATTTGTCCCTTGACAGTCATGTGATTCAAGTAAGGGACATGGCATTTGGCATTGATAAGTAGGTTGTTCGAGTGGCTCGATAGCGAAGCTGTCTTGATTGTCGTTCGACTTCTTTTTTGATGGTCCCTCGTTCTCGCCTTCCTCTTCAGAAGACCGCTTTGATCCACATGTGGTAGCTTTATTTCCGCTACAGAAGGATGTATTGGCTGATGTCGTGAAGCTCCTCGGAGAGTTACTTGTTCGAGACCCGGTTGCCGTCGTAAGAGATGAGGTACTGCCGTGTGCCCAACGATTGACTCCCTCGTAGACAAACAACGATCCGTAGGTATCCTTGTCTTCATCTTGCTCCTGGAGAATCTGGTAAAGCTCGAACACTAGTTCCCTTGACGACTTTCCTGAGGTGTTGCTTGTTGGTGGACATTGCAACGCCACGACTGGCGAATGAGCTGTTGACGGTCGTGTTGGAGGGACAAACTCTGGAGATTGGATGCTTATATACTGAGCTGAATCAATAAATGGATTCGGGGCGCCAGAGTATCGCATGTCGGCCATCTTCGATGCCGTTAGATTACGATCCGATAAGTACCCACTGTCCGTACTTTCACCAAACGAGGTAGCGTTGGAGGCATATAGACCATCGTCATCGCAAGCCGTAATATCTGCAAAGGGCCTCCTCTTTAGAGGCCCAAAAGGGTTTTCAGCTTGCTCCATCAACGTATCCATGGGTGGGTACAGCACAAGGCTGAATGAGTGCCAACATAGGGATACCTCCAGCAGTCCAACCAAAGATAAACGACTATCTGTCAAATCAGACGTCTGTTGAAAAGAAAAGAATGTAAAGGTGAAGTGAAAATGGAAAAAGGCCCCGAGAAGGCAGGAATGTGTAAAGTAAGTAGGCCCTGCGCAACAGCCAACGCTGACGGGCTTTCCCCAGCGGCCAATGGTGCCTTGGCGCAAGTTGCCAGCAACGCGAACAATTTGTTCAGCCCCAAAAGCGTGACCAGCTGAACGCCATTCATGCAGCCAAGACATAACCTAAGGCTATCCCAAAACTTCATTATCAGTCTGAGGTGCAAACAAATTGTTCATGTGTTGTTGGCTTGAACGATGCTCTCGTAGTGTTTGCATTATGGATCTTATCATGGTGGTTATTTGTAGGCATCGAAGAGTGTCGCGATACAAACTGATGGGATTTCAGACGTTTTTTGTGAGGGTTGTGAAGACATTGTGGGACTTTGCCGTGTTGCAGCGACTTGTCATATATAATGTAGTTCATGCGAACGATGGAATGCGATCCTTATAGCCGCAAATTGTCAATTACTAGTCGGTGTGACAATCAGCATCGGTACACTCGAGCGAGTGATAGCCCCGAATATGGCCAACCAGGAGCCCGAAATCTGGATAGGATACACCAAAAACGGCCGCAACTACCTCGACAAGCAAGCCAAAGCACTCAACACGGAACAGCAAACACGCTATCTTAGCGAGTTCTACATGCTACGCTTCAGCGTGAGGGAGCGTGTCATGCTGCGTTGGCTGTGGTGCCAGAGACCTGTCATTCAGATATGCGAGGTCATGACGGTAAATCCACGCCGCCAAATCCGATGCGATCCGCCGTATGCTGATTCCATCTAGGCCAACGCCCAAAGATGCATCTTCCCTTTGGAGGTGCACTTCGAAGACATCGAGACGTCACATGCGCTATCGGCTGCTTTGCTGCGACCGGGGCTACTACGTGAGAGTGGGAGGATGTTCCACGAAACGGGGTCGTTCGACGTGGAGAACACAGAGGCATCGCCGAAGCGGAAAGTCTTGTGCATCGGCCATGTCGTCGACAAGAGGTATCTGGTGTGGCCACTAGCCTTATCCTTCGCCATTGCGACAGTCGTAGCGGTCATCGCAGGAATCGCAACACGCAGCGTATCGTCGGGCGCGGAATTGGGAGGTTTCATAGGAGTCGGTGTCGTATTGTCATGGTCGTACATCTTGTGGCTCCTAGGATAGCTCATGCATCCATGCGTCTAAATCTCTGACCACCGTCTTCATCCTTCTCTAGCAGTCCTCTCATCTCCCTAGCCCTCTTCTCTACCTCTCTTGCGCTGCCCATTCGACTTTCTTCGGGATGCCATCCTTCCATGTGCGTGAACAACGGTACGATGGCAGAACTCTTCCAGGCCACTACGCCCCTCCTCCATGTATGTACGAGCGTAGCTACGAAGAACGCAATGCCCATGATGACTTCAACAACTGGTACGCTTATCCAGGCCCAGTGGACTTTTATGTATTGCTCCGTCGTGATTGTTCTACCAGGGAGGTTGATACTGCTAGGCCCCTGGCCGAAGGCGTACGTCATTGAAGTGCTAATAGCTTGCACAGTCTGTGTGAGATTTGTAGAGTTTTGCAAGGCAAGACCGTACGCGTCCTTGATTGTAGAGGAAAATATACCGGAGAGAAACGTCATCATTCCCTCGTTGTCGACTGGACCAACGCTGAAAGTCGTGTTACCGGAGAATGTTGTAGTCTCGTTCGAGACGTTGAATGAGACCCAATAGTCCGGGTTGAATGGATTGGCGATGCCGTAAAGTTCATAGTCTTGTATGATTCCAGGGTAGAAGGTACCGTTCACGACGTTCATGTTACGGACATGCCGACCGACCCAACGCATGTCACACTCAGTGAGGTCTGGATTGTCCATGCTAAAAGGCGACACCATGCTGGCGGTAGCGAAACTGACGATGGTGCTGTTGAGTACGCTGCCGATTTGAGATGCGCGCTGTATATGAGCGGTACTGTTGAATTGAGTTGATCCTCCGCCGCCTGAGCTTTGATGGGAAGACGACTCAATGAAGAAAGCAGATGGCGTTGTATAATTGCAGCTTCTCCCTGCGTGTATACTGCCACAGACAATTTCCGAGGCGGATGTGACATTCGTACAGTTGCTAGCCACTGCCAGGGTTGTGAAGTCGTCCCATTGGCAGTTTCCAGTCTGACATTCAACTTGCACTGGTGCACTGAGATTGTAGAGCCCATTCAGGATAGCGCCTTGTATTTTGGGGTCCATCATCCGCCCTGTTCGGGTTGTAAGCTTGGAACGGCTTCTAAAGAAGTTACATATATAACTTACTGATAACACCTCGTCCGGTGACGCCCCTGGCGGCTCCGGAATCATAAATTTGGTTTTTGTAGAAAGTCGCACCAGAGGTGTCGAAACGCAATCTTGAAGGATACGAAAGCAATTGCTGTGACAAGGGGCCCATGGCGAGGGACAGTACCGTGATGAGAGAACCCCATGTTGCCAACTTGGTTTTGAGATGCAATCTCCAAACAAGTTCCAGAGACCCCCAAGGTCCACGACTAGCGTCGTCGAAGATTTGCATCTCTCGCAGCGGGCGTGGTGACCTAACCAGATGAATCCACTTGAGTTGACTCAAGCATGATGCAACTGGTACTATCAGGGCTGTCCGCGATAAGGTCGAAAGAAGTGCAACAACTGTGTTCAGCGTAATGTTATGAACAAAATGCCAATTGGACAAGGGTCTCTCCTGGTAGACTTTCAATATGATTGTTATGGCGACAATGCATAGAAAACTGAAAAGTGCAGATGCGATCTCCCACCGCCAATCTCCCCAGTGAAAGCTTCCAGAACGCTTCGGTGGATCGTAGTGCGTACGGACAATAGTCTGTTCTTTCGAAGATACGGATTCCGGTCCTTCTGAACTCCATGCCAGGTTGTTACCGAGCAGTCTTTCACTGTAAGTGGAATGGCCGTGATCCGGGATACCATGTAAATGATCCTGCTTGAGATTACTTGCAAGTGGGTCTGCTCTGACTGGAGTGGCGGCCGTGGGAAGGTACTCTTGGCTGAGCTCTAACGAACGCATAGAGGCAGAGCGAGATGAAGCCATGATCAGGATCCGGGGAAGCAGCGATAGCTTCGCGTCAAGATCTGCGAGGAGTCGACAGGACTGGGTATTGTTATATGCGGAGAGGCCGCTGGCCTAGTGGCTTGGGTGGCTTGGGCTGGGTGGGGGCCAAAAGCGGCTGAGGTGTTGTACAGATTCTGACCATTGGCTGTGGTTTGGCAAGGCGTCCTGCCTAGTGACACCTGACGCTGTGTTCAACGATCTGCAACGCATGCGAATATACCTGCACCTCACACAAGGGAAAAACCGAACACCCTAGAGCCGACGTTGACGTTGGGCCACCTACTTTACATGTTTTCATCTTGATGTAGGCTCTAGGGTGTTCGGTTTTTCCCTTGTATAAGGTGCCTGTGTCAAACAACAGTGATAGGTCTCCTGACGGCTAGGATGATGTGGACGGTAACACCAGAAGAACTTGATCATTTCGAGATTGATATTGGACGTGGCAAAACTATCGCAGGGGTATCTTGGTGTTCGAAAGCAAACTAGGCAGGAAAGTAGCTCGAAGTATTACAACTCGTCGAATGCGCGCAGTCGTTCGTCGTCATCTAGTACAGGCTGCGCTTCGGGGGTCTCCATTTTTGGACTTGCAGTACTAGATGACGGCCCTATAATTGCCTCTTTTGCTATGTCTGGAATTTCGGCATTCAGGATTGCCTCTCTGGTCGCAGGATCGAGTGTATTCTTCGGTTCGTGTAGGTTGTCGATCGGTTGCGACGGGCGAAAGAAAACGAGAGCCAGTATGAGTGCAGCTACAAAGCCCACTATAGCCCAGAATATGCGCACGCGATCTGTGTGATGTCAGTTGGGACGGAAACAGAAGAAGGTTATGAGGATAGTCATACGGGTGTTCTTCGCCTGCCACTGCGCTTCCGATTTGGCCCTCGCATCGACACGCTCTTTCGCTCGTTCGAGCCTCGCCGTCAGTGCATCGGCTTTCTCTTTACCCGCCTTGATGCGCTCTTCCAACCCGCTCACTTGCTCCTGTTGTGTCTTGAAGCCATCAAAGGCTTCCACTTGGCCAGTCACATCCTCCAGCAACTCTGTCGTGTCCGACTCGAAGTTTTCGTGGAGCTCTTTGGTCAGGCCAGAGAGCTCTTGCAGTGTTCCGATGGTCTGGCGCAATACGGAGACCTTCTCGAGAATGGAGTAGTAGGTGTCGTCTAGACGGCGCGACGTCTTGAGGGACTGGTCGGAAAGGGTCTGGAGAACCGCACGAAGGTCTCTGCGGGCCATGTTAGAGGAGGCATCTTGGGGGAACGCTACGGAGCATCATGGGGGTTGATAGTGAATGACGCAGACGCACCGTTCTCTAGCTTCAACTCTCCTAGCTTCTAGCTCCACATCTGCCTGCCGGATTGGTCTCCGCGGCGGGATGGTGATGCCTGGAGTGCTTTCCTCCTTCCCATGCACGCTGCCATCCGCCTGCCCTGGTGCGACGCTCTCCCTGCGACTGTGACTGGGGCTCGTGTCTCTGCTCCCTCGCGCCTGCCTCAGCAAGTCTCCAAAGCTAGTGGGCGGCTGTATCTGGATGGCTGACTGCATCGCCTCTTTTGCCGCATGGCGTCGGCTGGAGCTGTGGCGGTGACGGTCATCGTGACGGTCGTGGTGGTGTCGCGACGACTTGTGCTTGTGCAGGTGGGAATGCGACTTCTTCTCGGGGTCAGTCGTCACGCGCGTCGCCGAACGAGAGCTGTAGAGGTTAGGACGGAAAGACCTGGGGTCGGCCAGGCCGGCATGGAGGTGAAGCTGGCCGTCCATGTCATGGTGGTGGTTGGGTCGGCGCAACGAGGCAGTTGTCGGTGCTGCTGGGTTCCAAGATCGACTTCCGAGTTTCGCGTGTCATTGCAGGGGTCTCCTTCCGCTAGCCAGCTGGGGAAGCGCATGTGAAGAGAGTCATGAAACAGCCTAGACAGTGATGATGATTGTAGTCTTGCAGATATTGTATTGCAAGTTGCCTGTATAGGTGATTCCACGTCCATGGTTATGGTACTTTCAGTAGGGAATGGCATTTCATTTCTTTACTCATGGGCAAGGTTCTAATATGATTGCTTTTTGCTCCGTCTTCCACTGTGGGAAGTCTCGATAGGGTATCATTGCTCGCATCCCGCCCTACAGACTGGACTTATCTGGGCTGGTTCCGGTTGCTCTTGCTTTCCCGGTAGTCTCTAGGCAGTGCAGTCGCGCCTGCCTCTGCACCTTTTCAACATCCCCCCGAAGCGGCATTTCCTTAACCGCATTTTATGCTTCGGCTCTAGTCTATCCGACCCGAGCTCATGACTTCAGCATCTTGTTACGCTTCTCCCTCCTCTTCAGGCGCTCGACGCGCTTCTTGTGCATCTTCTCCTCCATCTGGGCGAATCGCTCTCGTTCTGCTTTGGCGGCGCGCTTGGTCTTGATGGCTTCGACTCGTCGCTATTGCACAGTCAGCTCCTGTCTATTTGTAACCAAAAGCCGTGGTTTCCTACCTGTCTCTCAGACTCCTTCTCGTCCTTCAGCTCCTTCTCCTTCGCCTTGACAGCAGCAAGCGCTTTCCTCTCCTCACTGCGCTTCTCCCATGAGGTCTGGCCAGCCTTTGGTCGGAAGGGGCCCTTGTTGTCGTGCCATTGCTTGCCTGGGGTAAGTTAGATTGCCATGTCGCAATGGTATACCGCACACAGCTGTCGCATACCGTTCTTTTTCATGCCCTTGACAGGGGCAGTTTCCGTCGCAGGAGGCGCCTCGATTATCACAGATTCAGACATGGTTGCAGTGTTGCGCGACCAGTGGATCTCGCAGAAGTTCTCGAACCCAGAACACGGCGGCGCGAGAAAAGTTAATGCCGATTATCGATAACTAGCGCACTTTGCCGGCGCGGGCTGCCAGCCAGGGATCCCAAATCCCGCCCAACTCAAATGTTATCAGATCGAATTGATCTGATAAGCTGCATCAGCAGAAGTGCGGCCGGAGCGCGTTCCCAACTGCTCGTTGCGCCCATACTTTATTCGCGCATGCAGATGGTCTGGCTTAGCAAGCGCTGTGCGCTTTCCACTCCTGTAATACTTTCTTCCGATACTGCAGAATTTTCCTAGGCTAGCTAAAGAAAGGTCGACCCTGTTTGGTACAACGTTGGGCGTTATCATCTTCTCCATCCCCGTCGCACACACGGCCCGCTACATGCTCCCTCGAGCAAACTCTCTTCGTCGTGTTACACACTTCCGAACCTTCCTCCACTCGCCATAACGCAAACGCTACCGGTATACTCCATCATTGACATGGGCTCCGATTCATAACAGTAGCCACGCGCCCTCTCACCGCCCACGACTCTTCGCACGCAACATGCGCTCGGCCTCATAACCATACATTCAATACAATCACACATATCCGTTGACGAGCCACACACATTCCGCATTCATGGAAGCACAAGAGAGTCCGGTGTCGGTGGTGGGGGGAAGAGGCCGGCTGCCCAACCCAGTCATAATGGAAGAGGTCCGGAGTCCTGCTACAGAGCATACCATAGGCAAGGGAGAAGAGGCCTTGAAGGACGTTCTCTGTGGATCCGCGGCAGGAGTGGTCGGAAAGTACATCGAGTACCCCTTCGATACGGTCAAGGTTCGGCTGCAGTCACAGCCCGACCAGGTGCCACTCCGCTACACCGGGCCACTGGACTGCTTCAAGAAGTCCCTACAGCAGGATGGCTTCCTTGGAATATACCGGGGGATCAGTGCGCCTCTGGTAGGAGCTGCTGTAGAGACAAGCACTTTGTTCTTTAGTGTGAGTAACGTGCCAATGGAGAAGTGGATCAAGCTGATGTGGTCTGTAGTATCGTCTGGCTGGCGATGCACTCAAGTCCTCGGGATTCTATCCTGAGCTGAAGAGACACCCTGAGCGTGACTTGCCATATTCTGGTATGCTCTTTTGCGGAATGATCGCGGGCGCCATCACCTCACTCTTCCTAACACCGATTGAACTCGTCAAATGCAAGATGCAAGTTCCCCTAGAAACGAGCGGTACCGTCGTAGCCGCACCAACCATCAGAGGAGTCATTGCTTCTATCTATCGTCACCAGGGCCTCAAGGGCTACTGGCACGGACAATTTGGAACCTTGATTCGCGAGACAGGAGGCGGCGCGGCGTGGTTCGGTGGCTATGAAGGCATGAAGATCCTGTTCAAGGGCTCCAGCACTTCAGCCAAGGACGAAGATATTCCCGTCTGGCAGCGCATGGCCTCTGGTTCTGTCGCAGGGGGAGCCTACAACTTCATGTTCTACCCTGCGGACACGATCAAGTCGAGAATGCAGACGGAAGATGTCAAGCAATTGACTGGCGGAAAGTCAACATTCAGCGCTGTAGGAAAGGCGGTTTGGAAACAACACGGTATCAAAGGCATGTACCGTGGGTGTGGTATCACGGTTGCGAGATCCATACCCAGCTCCGCATTCATCTTTACGGTATATGAAGAGTTGAAGAAGCGATGGCCTACTCGACGGGTAGAGTAGGACAGTCACGGGATTTCGCGCTGGATGCGCGGAATTCGTCGAGCAGCATATCATGGTGTTTGGGGGCGTTTGTATAGCATCAGGCGGGAGCGTCGAGATACCATGTATTGTTACATTGAGCGCATAGAAAAGAAGCAGCAGTCTTAGATCATAGAACGCATGCACATGCAACTTTTCCCAAATTATTCTACCTTCACATGTCAGAGCGCAAACACCCCTGTCATTTCCTTCTCTTAGCGCGAAGCTGCACCAATCCACGGATGTGGGGAAGCAGCGACCGGCAATGTGACGCGAGCCGAGGATCAGATGCCAGCAGCCATTCCGCGACTGCGACTCTGCGCTATCTATACCCGACCGTAAACCTCGCTCTCGTCCCCATGCCAGCCTCATGATACGTACACTGTACTTCCATTCTTCTCTTCACTCCTTCGATTTTCTCCTTCAGAGTTCCTGCGACCGTAAAAGGTAGCGGCAAACGTCATCGCAACGCGCGCGCTGGACCGAGGCTCTTCTTCGCCGGACGCAAGCCAGCAACGACAGAACACAACACTCAGATCATAACACACATATACGAACAACATGGACAGATTACACGCCCTCGAAGTATGTCGCAGATACTCGGATGTCGCATCTTCGAAGCGCGAAAGCTGATGGTTCGAATAGGCTGCGCTCGACAGGATTGTGCTAGACCCAAAGTACCACGATATCCTCACACTGGTAAAAGGTGTAAGGAATGGCATTGTGTACGGAAGTAAAGTGCGCTTTCCGCATGCGCTTGTGTAGGTTCTCGCAGGATTGTGCGTTTATGGAGGGATGGATTGCTGACGCGTGGTTGCAGAATGATCTTCCTCTTCAGATCTGGAAGGTACGTAGACCTCCCCTTACTACCAAACCTCTTCTCTCCTCCATAACTAGAGAGTGTTCTTGCTGACAAAAGCCAAACAGTTTCCGATCGAAATGCTTGCTCGTCTACAAAGCGACCCGCCAACACGCCCGTAACCTCGGCCTCTTCGCCCTCGTCTACAAATCCTGCATGATCTTCCTCCGACACGCGTCCCCGACCGGCAAAGAGCGACACTACGATTCCTTCCTCGCCGGCCTTCTAGGCGGCTACACCGTCTTTGGTCGCACAATTCACAATTCCGTGTCTCAACAAATCGTCATATACGTAGCTGCACGCGTATTGTTAGCGTTGGCAAAGCTGGCAGTACAACCACGACAGGTCGGAGGTGGAGCTAGTGGACAAGGAGTCCAAGGAGGTGGGGGTGGGTGGGAGCTGTTCGGTAATGGCGAGATGAGGAGAACGATGGCGAAGAACGGATGGCCGGTGTTTGCCAGTCTGAGTTGGGCGATGGTTATGTATATCTTCAGGTGGCATCCTGAGGCTGTGCAGAGCAGCTTGAGGAGTAGTATGAGTTATATGTGGGTATCCCATGAAGCCGGAAGAATATGGGATTACGCTGACATTTTGACAGTTATGTACAGTCGGACGACTGGAACTCATTACGGACATTACTTTGGCATAACAAATGAGCATGATGGAGAGGAAGGGCATCGAGTGACGGAAGAAGACGTCATGGTTAGATCGAGGACCTGGCATGCAGAGGCGAATGCACGGCAATTTAGAAGCATATACATTGGCGCGCTACACCATGACCGTGATAGAAAGAGAATATCAGGAAATATCCAAACTGTCATGAGACAATAATACCTCCTTTCTAAATCCATCCACCAGTAATGAAATCTCCCGACCGACGAGGTTAAAAGCGGCAACACTACTTCACGCGACCCCAAATATGCGTCATACACAGTGACATAGGTCCGCACAATGCCAAAACAAAGCGACCAATCTCACCAGAGTCATACCCAACTCCTTGGACTACAATCGCTTTCGGTGTTGACCGGTGGCTTTTTACCCCACTTCCAACGCCCATGTAGGCGGCCTCCGGTGAGCCCATCTCGGACACGCACACGCGACGCGTTCTCCCCAAAACCAAATCCCAATGCCGTCATCAGGCAGAACAATCTACATGCCGGCTACCTTCGGGCTTTTACTAGCTCGTCTTGGACGTATCCTATGCTATCCTTCCGTCGCGTGGTTACTCGAGGGTACTGTCGACTACCCCAGGTTATGAGCACGCTGGCCGGTGTCGGAATGGGGTAATAGATGAGCGGAGGATACTGGTCCTTCAGAGTACTGGTGTGATCTCGGTTGCGATAAATGCGGGGAAGGAGGTCCAGTGATGGGTTGTTGGTGCCAGGTAGGTGACCGACTCAGGCTTGG